CAAAGAAATTAAATACGAATTTAATAAAAATTACTCAGAAGTGTGGAAAAAGAATGACAGCATGTTTTCAATCGTAGAAATGTGAATTCAGACTGAAAATATAAGATTGTCAAGTTCATATTAAAAATGAAGGGAAAAGCTCCTATTTTTGTTGACGAATAAGAAGGTAAACAGACAAATAAGAAGTGAGCGAAGAAGCAAAAGGGTCTTATTGATACGTCAAATTGACTCGTGGAAATTGTCAAGGTTGGTACCTAAAGGACACGGCGAAACATTGAGGACCTTCAGAATTTGGGGCACGTTTGAAAGCATCTCCCAATTTCGGTACAAGCACCAGCTTCATATCCTATTGAATTGAGGGAGAAGGGGTAACTACACAAAAGTCTGTAAACGTTGTCCTTTTCTGTTTTAGTCGTCGCTCCTCCAACGTTTTGCCCGCGTTGACAACGCGGTAAAATTAACATGGAAATGCGGAAAAGTGTCCAGAAATGGAACACGCGAGAGAAAATATAAAAGAGATAATTAAACGCTATACCGTAGGAAGAATACGTGTACGTGGCGGTTGTGGTAGACAGACGTAATTTATTATGTCACGAGGAGAAGTCCAAGAGCGCCGATAAAATGCGCCGGATAAAGGTACGGAATAATGCACCCTTACGCCTGCCAGAGGATACACCCCCGCGAAGGGATATCACCATTAGTAATCGAGTAAACGCAAATACAAAGAGAGGAATGGAGAAGCTGGTGATGTATGGAACGAACGTGATCGCGCTCCTTCGAGAAGAGATGAGAAAAATTGCAAGGGGAACAGAGGAGGATTACAGGAGGACAATGCGAATTTCGCATTGTGCGAAAAAAGAAAGAGGATTCGCCATGACGAGTCGAGGATGTTCAGCAACAAATGGTCGCCGGGAATAGGATCGTTCGGAGAGATTGCACCGACGGGATTGGAGGGAAAGACGGAGGAGCTAGAAAAGAAAGAGAAAACACGCGCGGTGACAGACAGATGAGTACAAGTGCGCGACGGCTAGGACCTTCCGTGCTTTCTTTCCAACCGTCCTGTTTACTGTCATATGTCATTGCGATACGGAGGAGAAGAAAGCATTTCGCTTCCCGGCTGTTTTGAGAGATCCGAAGGATCCCGCGAGGACAGGTCGCGAGATTTTAGCAGCTCATCGCGCGCGCACGATGTATACAGATTTGCCGTCAGCATCTCTGATTTCCCAGTCCATCGACTTCGATAACCTCCCCCTCTCTCGAGCATCCCCGAGGTCGCTAGACTGCCGCGATGCAGGAGATATCGGATCAGATGCACCGT